TGAACCATCATGTACATTTTTTAAGGACAATTAATAAGGACAGTTACATTATTTAGAATGTCTTCAGCCTTCTAAAATTTTTATTAAAACTTACAATTGCTAAACTTGGGAATTTATTTATTTATTTTTTCTTTTTTGATCGGTAAGGGGATCGCAACCCTTGGCTTGGTGTCGTCTGCACCACGCTCAGCCAGTGAGTGCACTGGCCATCTCTGTATAGGATCCGAACATGCAGCCTTGGCGCTGCCAGCGCCGCACTCTCCCGAGTAAGCCACAGGGCTGGCCCTTATTTGTTTTTACATTATCTGAAACTTAACATTAATAGCCTAGTCTTCAAAGACATATACTTGTCTACTAATATATGTAGTAATGCAAAGCATGTCTTAATACTCTGCATATTATAGTAATATAAGCTGAAAAGCATGTATATAAACAGAAGTAAATGCAACATATATATTTCATTGATTTTTTTTTTAGAATATCCATGTCTTTGAAGGGTGCTGTAGTGTCTGTGTCTTTGAAGATTTTTATAATTTTCATGTCTTTGATGGTTAAAGTTTTTGAAAGGATGTAATTGAATATAAAAACCTATACTAGTGAATTACATTACAAAGAAGAATAAATGCAATAATGTTTTCTCCTTCAAAAGTCCTATATGTCTAGGTTTGATCTAATCCTGATCTGTACAGTATAACAAGAACTATGTTCTCTGGATGCCCCTTCATCTCTGTATGTTCAAAGCTTTTTTTCTTCTCTAATTTTAGAACAAGGGAATATGAATTCTGTTTGATTTTTGGTTATACACAAAGTGATTTCTAGTATGAATTGAGTATCCCTGATTCCAAAATTCAAAATGCCTCAAGATCTAAAAGTTTTTGAGCACCAACACGATGCCTTAAGTGGAAAATTTCACACCTGACTTCATGTGACAGCTTGCAGTCAAAATGTAGGTACAAAACATGCAGATTATTCAATGTCCCAAGGGAAGAAAGACCCTCCCTTCAGCTGTGACATATCTTTTCTGCGCATGCCCACAAAGGATGATAAAATGGTCACAGGTACGGGTTAGATGCATCAAGCACAGGTTCTCCACAATGCCCCTCATATGGTGAAGACCTGTGTGCATTATTCACAATATTTTTTTTTGCTTGTTCTCTGCTCTGTAGTGTAAAGGTATTGTTAAAAAATATTGAAAAAGGTCTGAATATACTAGGTAACTGTGATAAGAAAAAGTGGAAGCACATTTATGTTTATCTGTACCATTGAAAGTCAGGCTGTTAGAGAAACTGGACAGTGGTGTGTGAAACATTTTACCGAAGAGTATGGTGTTGGAATGACCCGCATATGTGACCTGAAAAAGCAGAAGGATAAACTGTTGAAGTTCTGTGATGAAAGTGAGGAACAGAAGTTAATGAAAAATAGAAAAACACTGCATAAAGCTAAAAACGAAGATCTCAGTCTTGTATTGTCAGGGTGGATCCGTCAGCATTGCAGTGAACAACATGCCACTTACTGGCATGCTGATCATGAAGTAAGCAAAGATCTATCACAATTAACTGAAAATTGAAGAGAACAGTGAATGTTCAACAGGCTGGTTGAAGAAATTTAAGAAAATACAAAGTATTAAATTTCTGATTTGTGGTGAAAGCATGCTGCTAATCATGAAGCAGTGGAGAAATTCATTGATGAGTTTGCCAAGGTCATTGCTGATGAAAATCTGATGCCAGAACAAGTCTATAGTTCTGATGAAACATCACTGTTTTTGTGTTATTGCCCCAGAAAGACAGTGACTACAGCTGATGAGACAGCCCCTACAGGAATTAAGTGTGCCAAGGACGGAATAACTACTGGGTGTGCTAATGCAGCAGGCATGAATAAATGTAAACTTGCTGTGATAGGTAAAAGCTTATGTCCTACCTGTTTTCAAGGACTGAATTTTTTACCAGTCCATTATCCTATCCTCAACTGCTTCTGATGTTTCTTCTCACCTAAAAAAATAATACAGTGTACAGTAACCTTTTAATCAAATGTTGCAACATAGGTGTAGATCTAAAGCCTGCTGCTGTTTGTTGTTGCTATTGCTTAACAGTTGATAAGGGTGTTCTGTTGATGCTGCCATCCTGCTTAGTTACACTGAACACATGACTTTTTCACTGTATTAATGGTATGTCGTATTTTTTTACTGTTAAGTACTTAGTGTGAATAAGTATTAAGAAAATGATTGCTTATTGGTAGCATATAAATTCATAGTCAGGAATGATGGTGATGCCAAACAAACTCAAATTGTCCACATGGGTGGCTGAGATAGTGACACCTTTGCTTTCTGATGGTTCAGTGTACACAAACTTAGTTTTATGCACAAAATTATTAAAAATATTGTAGAAAATTACCTTCAGGTTATGTGTATGAGTACATGGTGTATAGGAAACAAATGAACTTGGTGTTTAGATTTGGGTCCCATTCTGAAGATATCTCATTATATATATGAAAATGTTTCAGAACCTGGAAAAAACCAAAATTCAAGACACTTCTGTTTCCAAGCATTTTGAATAAGGATGCTCACATGTAATGTATTTATGACATTTGGAACAGTAATTGTCTGAAATTGTTTTGTATAATTTTGTCACGTAGCATTTTAAAGCAATATTAAATAAAAATCACTTTTTTTTCATTCTTTTCTAGTTCCTGCTCGTATGAATACATGTCTTTTATAATTATAAATATGTATAAATTGAATGTTTTAGTTTTACTTTTTAAGCAGATAGTTGTTTAGCTTTTATCATGATCATTTCTGAATTTATAATACCCTTTAAAATGATCTCATATATAAACTATTTCGTGATTATTAAATACTTACATTGTCCGCAGGTTTTTTGATGTTTATAAATGCTGTAAGGAATAATCACACTTAAACAAAAAAACAGATGGCCTAGAGTTATCTTCACCATCTTAAAAATCCTGATAGTAGTTTCACATTAAGTAATGATGCCTAGCAAGAGTAGTTTTGCTTTGTAAAACTTTTGATTATATTTGCAAATTTGATATATTAAAATAACTTATTAGTTTATTAGTAACTAAACTGTACTTCCTAATATGATCTATTGAAAACCTTGTAATTTCCAGTGCTGTTAAAGAATCTCTTTATAAAATGCAATAGCTACTTCTTAAAAAATTCTTTTTTTAAAAAAGCCTTTTTAAAAATGACTTATTTCTGCTTTTAGAAACTCATTTTTTGTACTTTAGAAAGTCCATAAATACATATTTTCTAATAGACTGTAAGCTCCAGGAATTTTGACTGTTTTGTTCAGACTGTTTACTGTTATCTCTAGTTCCTAGAATAGTACTTGGCACATAGTGAGCCCTCGATAAATATTTGTTGAATGAGAATTTTTAAGGATGTTTATAACAGTATTATTTAATATACTTTAAAAAATATTTGTACTCTAAATGTTTATTAATACAGGGTGATTAAAGTGTAGAATAACCATACAATCAGACAGTATTTTCGGGTTTTTCCATGTGTACTGAGATTGACGTAATACTTTCTTTGTTCCATGAAAAAAAGCAAGTAGAACAGTATGTATTATGAATACTATTTTTAATATTTTGCCTTAAAAAATACATACCTACTCATACATGGCAGTTCTTAAGCTTTTTTGAGTTTCTATAGTTACTGAGGACTTTAAGTAGCTTTTGTTTGTGAGAGATATACATATATAGTGCATGTTTATGTTGTAAATACATAGTCATGCATCTTTAATCAGGGATATGTTCTGAGAAATGTAGTGCATCATTAGGTAATTTCTTTGTTGTGTGAACATCACAGAATGTACTTACACAACCTAGATGGTGTAGCCTACAAGACACTCAGGCTATCTGGTATAGCCATTTTAACCTTGCAGAATTACCATTGTAATGGAATTTGTTGACCAAAATGTTAAGTGGTGCATGACTGTGTTTATTCTACACAATTATTCTAATATGGCAAATCTATATTATAAATCATATAATTATTACATATTTATAATACAGATTTGCCATATTAAAAGTTAAAATTGAAAAAATTTTAAGCTTACTTTTGGAATAAAAATAACCCTACTACACGTTAAGGTAATAAATTTAATAAATGTGTTAAAATTACATGTAAGTAATGTATTTTTATGAAAATTATCTCTGATATTACACCAACCCTCCACAAGTAGTAGTTTCTTAAAAGTTAGTTGCAGTGTGGAATTTGAAACCCTATTAGTGAACTTTTTGTACTCTGTCTCATAAAGTCCTTTGGTCACTTTTGCATTTTGAATGGATCTGTTACTTGTTCCTGATTTTATAACCTCATGCATTGGTCATTTAAAAAGTATTAGTTTATTGAGTTATGCAGGTCTTCCAATTGTTGACACATTTCATTATGCAATATTAAAAAGTCACTTTTGTTAATATCACAGCAATCACATTGGAAAGGTCTTCGAGTACTGTGAAGCTGTCAAGGCACAGTGATGAATGCAAGTTTTTCAAAATTCTGCTTTTCATCTAACGCTTGAATTTTATCATTGGTAACACAGTCAATTTTTATTAAATTGATGGACTTACAGGATTCACTTGTTAAAAAAAGGTCTACAAAACCTCCAAATCTGAATAGTTTGCCATTTGTTCATCTGAAAATAGTTTCATTTAAAAAGGTGAATGATTCAATCTTATCATGACACTTAAAAAACAAACTATTAAGAAAAACCTTCCCAAATCCATAAATATAAAAAAAAACAAAAAGAAAACAGCAAAATATTAACAGTGGCTACATTAAAGTAGTGGGAAAATGGTGACTTTTTTCCCCCTCTTTCTCTCTTATTTTTCTGTAAGGAATAATACATTTTTTATTGTTTGTTACATAGTTAACATAAAAATATTATATAGGGTATATTATTTACAGAACAGCTTACAAAGAGTGGAGTGAATGTGAATTATTAAGAATAGTTAGTTATTTTCTCTATTTTTCTTGTTAGGATTTAGGTCCTGAATATGAGGATATATTTAACACCTCATTGCAGTGGATTTTAGAAAATGGAAAAGATGTTGGAATAAGGTAAAGGATTTGATATCCACTTTGACCATTTTGTACTGTGAGAAGTGAATTTTGACTTTAAACTCTACCTTCATTATTTTTAAATAGGTGTGTTGGGTATGGCCCTGAGGAAGAATTGACAAATATAACCGATGTGCAGTTTTTACAATCCACAAGACCACAGATGTCTTTCTGGTGTCGTTTTCGACGAGCTTTTATTACTGTAACCCACAGGTTATTGTTGTTATGCTTAGGTAAGTTGACAAGATGAAAAAGGAAATACATTGCAGAGTAGAATTTTCATGTCTGTATTTCACTAAATACCAGAGTTGAGAATTCACTTCTGTGATGGTTATCACATAAATCATATCTGGAAGTCTTCATCCATATAATAAAGTTGAGGTTTTTTTTAAAAATAATGTCTGTATTAGTCTAAGGGCGTAGTAAATAGTAATATAAGGAGAAGTAGGAATAAAACTTTGCCCTTAGAATGAAACAGTAAAAGTAAGTATACTTAGTTTCTACATAGAAATCTACTTTGGAAAACAAAACTGGAAAATATAAAAAATTAGCTTATTTTTTAAATAACAAGATATTATAAATTAAACTCATTAAAATTATTTCTAGTTTTAAAAATATCCTTTACTTGAATTAAAATTTTTATTCGGGTTACTAGATTTTATGATTGATAGTAGTAATTTAGAAGATATTCATATCTTTTTTTTCCCCTTTTTTCTTTGCTAGTTCTTTAAAAATAGTTTACTTAAAGTAATATTTAGTTTGTTTAGTCTCTTAAGATTCACTTTTCTAGTAGTTTAATGCTGCAAAGGAGAAAGTTTGTGAAACATATTTTGTATTTTTAAAATAGTTAGAATTGAAATGTTTAGTTTTCCACGTAATGAAGTGTTTTTTCTAGAGAGAAGTGAAACTGTGGAAAATGTTTAATATTAAATATTTCTATGTATTTTTAATTACATAACTAATTCCACCCTCTGTTTTAAGGCTAATTCCATTATTCCATTATGGCAGTTAAAACAATCACTGTAGAAACTTTGCAATATTATTAAATGCCATTGACCACAATTTTGAAAACGTGAAGTATATGAATATTTCAGGTGTAGTGATGGTTTGTGTCGTTCTGCGTTACATGAAATATCGCTGGACAAAAGAGGAGGAAGAAACAAGGCAGATGTATGATATGGTGGTAAAGATTATAGGTATGGTATTTGTAAAAATCTAAACTATTTCTAGAATAGTCATTGCATGATAAACTGTAGTATGATGTCAAGTGATCGATTCATTTGTAAGTTTGTTTGATTTATTTTCAGATGTTTTACGAAGTCATAATGAAGCTTGCCAGGAAAATAAAGATTTACAGCCTTACATGCCTATTCCACATGTGCAAGATTCTTTAATACAGCCTCATGACAGGTGTGTTCAAAGCATTATAAGTGGAAGTAAATTAGAACATAGATGTGTTCTGCAGTCTTGAAAATTGTATTGAAAATTGTGACTCTTTTCAGCTATTCCTGTTTTACTGTATAGACTTTTTTTGTACTTTATACTCTCCTTTCTTTCTAAATTCTCTTCTATTATCCTGATTTTGAGTAGCATAATAGATAACAGGACTTCTAAATCATTCTCATTTCTATATAATCAGTCCTCTGTATCCATGGGTTCTGCATCTGTGGATTCAACCAACCATGGGTGGAAATTATTCAGGGGGGGAAAAAATTCCACAAAGTTCCAAAAAGCAAAACTTGAATTTTCTGAGTACCAAGTACTGCGTTGAAGTCACATGAATGAAGTGATGTGTAGGCATTGTATTAGGTATTTTAAGTAATCTAGAGGTTATTTAAAGTATACAGGAGGATGTGCATAGGTTATATGCAAATACTATGCCATTTTATATGTGCGGGATTTGAGCATGGGGCGTGGGGGGTGTGTTCCTGGAGTCAGTCTTTCATGGATACTCAGGGCTGAGTATACATTCTTGATTCTTTGTCATCAGTCTCCATCTTATTTGCTTTAATTTCACCTTGATAAAGCAACAGAGACAGACATAGCCAGTGGCATTTTACTAATGATTTTAAATGCTTATTTTGTTTTAATGAAGCTTTTAAAATAAAAACTAAAAAATAACTTTTTGAAAATAAAATATGATGCCATATCCTAAACCAGCATTCTTAACCCTAACAACACATTGTAGTCACCAGTGGAGCTTTTGAGGGAAAAAAAAGATACAGCTGCTCATGCTCCAACTGTGAGGTTGAAACTCTGATTCTGAGGTGAGGCACGGGCATCTAAATCTTCTTTGAACAAACTCCATGAGTAGCGACAATAGCCAGAGTTAATAACAACCATTACTTCAGTTACTAATATTTCAAAAAGATGACAAGATGATAGTAAATTTGTCATTTTGTTCATGTGATAGGAAAAAAATGAAGAAAGTCTGGGATAGAGCTGTTGACTTTCTTGCTGCTAATGAATCTAGAGTTCGCACGGAAACACGAAGAATAGGTGGTGCAGATTTTCTAGTTTGGCGGTGGATCCAGCCTTCTGCATCCTGTGACAAAATATTAGTAATACCTTCTAAAGTATGGCAAGGTCAAGGTATGTATTTTTAACCAAAAAAAAAAAAACAGTAGTTTTCTTCTAATTTTTCAAAATAATCATCCATGTTTAAGTGAAACAATACAATTTGAAACTATGTGAAGGCAGATCTCCCTTTCCACTTCCATCCTACAAAGGAGTCAGTGATACTCTTGTCCTTGCTAATATAAGCATAAATGGTTTGTCTTGCCATTTGATCTTGCCTTTTTTACTTAACAAAGCACCTTAATATTCTAGATCTAACTGCACTCTTTTTGTCTAATTTCTTTATGCAAATAAGACACACATAATTTGTTATATATAACATAAACATATATGTCACATATATTGCACATATAAGTGGAATCATAACTTTTTCACTAATCTTTTTTTTCAGTTTTTGCTTGCCTTCCTCCTATTTCTAAGACTCTTCCACCTGCATATCCCCCCTGCCAAGTACCTCTTGTGGGTATCTTTCCATGTTTTTTTAATGCCTGCATAGTTTCAAAAACATGCATATATAAGTATATAGGGTATATATAAATAAGAATATTGGCCGCATGTGCACTCAAACCTCTACCACACAGGAAAGCAGAAAACAAAGTATCAGAATATTGTGAATGGTAAATTCTTTTTCTGCAAAAGCATGTTTGTCAATGTTTGCTAAAATAGTACTTATGGAAAAGGTAAGTAAATTGCTTTGGAGTTGCAGTTTAAAAACCCAGTCACTCCTTTTTTCCTCCAATTAATTTTCACTTTCAAAAAGTTTGAATAATAGGCTTCTTTAATCATAGCATAAAAATGATGCTTTGATATTGCCAAAGATTATACTAACAATAAATTATTTCCTTTCAAAGATGCGTGCAGGGCCGATTGGTTGGCTCACTTGAGAGACCGTGGTGCTCATAACACTGAGGTCAAGGGTTCAGATTCCTGGACTGGCCAGGTGCCAAAAACAAACAAACAAAAGATGCATGCAGACAGACCCTGTAAAACTGAAAACAGAGAATTCCTTATTTTATTCGACCTCTTAACAGTGTTTGATAATTGAGCCCTCCTTGAAACTTTCTTCTTTTGGCTTTGGGGATGCCACTTTCTTCTGGTTTTCCTCCTACCTCCTGACCTTTTCTTCACTCTTCTATATTTTTCTCTTTTCCTGGACCTCTAGGTGTTGGAGTTTCTCATTGTCATCTTTTCTTCTCATCTAGATTATCTTATGCTATGACTTCATTTACCGTATATGTTGATAACTCAAATTTATATGATGAACTAAAAGTCTTCTGTTATGGTTTTTAGATTTTTCTATCCGGTTGTATACTTATCTTCTGTAGTAGAAGATGGGTACCACACATTCAAAATGTGCACAAACTCAATGTTTTTTCTTCCCAAACTCACCTCTCCTGAGTTCCTCGTCTAGTTAGTTGATTATTCTGTAAATTAAAAATTAAACCAAAATGTTGGTTTATGCCATAAATCTGGGAGTCAGCCTTAATCTCTCCTTTACCCGCCTTTGTTCAGTCTTTTAGCAGGTTGTGTCAGTTCTCCATCAGGGTACTGCAGAAAATTTCTGGAAAAATCAAATTAAGAGATATGAGTTCTAGAACTTTTTGAAGACCCCTTGATTCTATCTACTTTCCATCTACACTGGTGCCTATCTTATAAACATCACTATCATCTCCCTCTTAGATAACTGTAGTAACCTTTTAACTGGTCTCTTTGCATTCACTTTTGCTCCCACCTATGTGATTCTCCACATAACAATATTTTTAAAATTTGTAATTTTAATAAATAAATCCCATCATATTATTCCTCTCCTTAAAATACTTGAGTGGTTTTGTATTACTCTTAATAATAATGTCCAAATACTTTAATGTGGCCTGCATGGTCCCAAATAATCTCACATCTCCCTTTTCAGGTTTATCTTTCTTTCTTCTCACTCCAGCCACATTGGCTGGCTTTTTTAGTTACCTGAATATAATGAGCTCCTTGCCTCAGCTGCTGAGTATAAGCTATCACCACTGCTTGAAATGTCCTTTACACCTCTCTTCATCTTGCTGATTTTTATTTATTCTTCAGTTCCCAGCATAAATTTCACTTTCCTAGACTAGGTTAAGTTACTTCTACAGTTTTCTGTACTCTTTTTTCTTAGGACTTATCGCAGTTATAACTTTGTGGGTGACACTGTTTATCATCTGTCTATCACACTAAACTGTAAACTCTGGGAGAGCAATAATTATCTGTCTCGGTCACTTTGACATCTAACATAAGGGGTCTGGCTCATAGTAAAAGCATGTAATGAATATTTTTGAATGAACTGAGTAACAGTACCTTTCAACAAAATGGAACAATAGCAAATAGTAAAACTAATTTGTTTTTTGTAGCATTTCACTTAGATAGAAGAAATTCACCGCCAAATAGTTTGACACCATGTCTAAAGATTCGAAATATGTTTGATCCAGTTATGTAAGTATTATGACCCAGAGGTACATGTCACTTTTATTGGGAATATTTGGCTGAAAAATGCATGATATTCTTAAAATGCTTTGTCTATAAATAAAAATATGTTTTCCTTCTGAATTTCTAACTATAGAAATGTTATGTTTTTCTGTTCTCTTTTGTTAAATTCCAAGCAAAGGTTTGACCAAAAGACCCAGCTATATAAAGATTTGTAAGACTTTTATAAACCTTTGTATTCACTATGAATCCTCATAACAGATAAATAAATGCTTGAGGGAAATTAATGACAATCAGTATCCTTTATTAAATGTATAAGTCATGTCATACATGACTGTGAACATTTTTGCTTCAGTAAGCAATAAACATAAAACTATCTGCTTTTTAAAAATTTCCAATCTCTAATTGTAAAAAATTCCCTCCAAAGATGTACACACCTTCCTCTCTACAAGTACTGTCTGTACTCGTCCGTTTAACATTTGAGGAACTTTGCTGACATGTAGTTAACACCAACACACACATCCAGAGAGAGCACAGTCAAAAGTTACTGCCTTAGAATCCATAATATTTCACATATAAGCTGTAATAATTTTTAGAATTACCTTCTTAGAGGTCAGTGCTTATTGGTCCAGTGATATAACAGATCAAATCCTGGTTTTTACCTTAAAAAAAAAAAAAAGACAGTGGAAATTGCATTATGTCTGAAAGTCCCATCTAATAACTCATTTATTTAAAAAAAATTATTGATGTGAAGAGATTCCAAATAAGTAACTACAAAATTGGAAATGTGGGGAAACACTGTCAGTATACACACACACGCGCACCCACCCACCCTCTGTTTTGCAGAGATAGAAACAACTAGCAGTGTGGTGAATACATCTATTGGGAATCTTACCTCATGCCTTAGGGATTAATCAATGCCAGTCTAGTATTTTATTTCCTAAGATGAAAATTTTAAATTTAAAGTGAAGCCACTTACCCCATACCTAACTATCTATATCTCACAAGTGAGACAAATGTGCAGGAGGTCTTAAAGCTCTCATAGTAAGGTGACTGAGCAAAATGTTTGTCCTGTATCATCACTCTTCCATTATTTTGAAAAAGAGAAGCTCAGAATATAGTATTTACTAAGAGTTTTCCTTAAGTTTAGGAATTTGAAAATGTTATTAAGGGCCGGCCCCGAGGCACACTCGGGAGAGTGTGGCGCTGGGAGCGCAGCAGCGCTCCCGCCGCGGGTTCGGATCCTATATAGGGATGGCCGGTGCGCTCACTGGCTGAGCGTGGTGCGGGCGATACCAAGCCAAGGGTTGCGATCCCCTTACCGGTCACAAAAAAAGACAAAAAAAAGAAAAATGTAATTAAAATAAAAGAATATTCAACTTTTACAATTTTACAAATTAAAGTGCTTTTTAAGGTGCTTATTTAGAGAGAAAAAAAGAAACATTGCAAGTTCTTAGGATTTTAGATATACAAATGACAACCCATTTGTTCTTCTGTGGTGGGCTAATCACTTCATTGCCTCAGCTCTCAGCATTCTTTCATTGGAAAGTGAGAGAAGGGCTGTGACTTCTGCTTGCTAATATTTTTAAATACACCTACTGCTGGTCAATAAGCATTTAATTACTACTAATTTTAATGATTGTAGGATATATATGTTGTAAAAGACAATGAAACTTTTTACTAAGTAGGAATATGGTTGTTGATTTTTGTTTGTTATTAATTTTTAGGGAAATAGGGGATCAGTGGCATTTGGCCATTCAAGAAGCAATTTTAGAAAAATGCAGTGATAATGATGGCATTGTTCACATTGCAGTAGACAAAAATTCACGTGAGGTAAAGTAACTTTTAGTATTGAATTCCACGTTTTCAATTTATTGCCGTTAAACTAAGACTTTCTTCTCTTTTTTTCCTTTCTTTTTTTTTTTTAAATATATCACAGGGTTGTGTGTATGTTAAATGTCTATCTCCAGAATATGCTGGAAAGGCTTTTAAGGCATTGCATGGCTCTTGGTTTGATGGTAAGAGATTTGAGTATTACAAACATTTTGAAAAAATAATTATGGTTGAGTATAGTTTAATGTTAAACTATACTAGATTTTAAATTAAAGAATTTTAGGTTAGCATTTTTCAAGTAATCATTTTAGGTAATTTTATTTGTGTTTTGTGTTCATGTGTCTTACCACATTTAATTTTCTGCAGATATTAAACACATTTTTACAGATCTAAAATATTATTTTTATCTTAAACAGGGAAATTGGTTACAGTAAAATATTTACGACTAGATAGATATCACCATCGCTTTCCCCAAGCTCTTACTTGCAACACTCCCCTGAAGCCATCAAATAAACATATGAACTCTATGTCTCATCTTCGTCTTCGGACTGGCCTAGCCAATTCTCAAGGTGGTTCCTGAAAAGACTTTCTTCCACTCCTAGGATTGTTATTTACAATAGGAAAATTCCTGTTTGGCTTCCTGTCTTCCTTTTTAAATGCTTTTTGTATGTAGTATTTTTATTGATGAATATAGCTCTGTCTGAATGTTCCAGAAATCTTAAGTTTCCAAAGGGATTTAGCATTGAGGCAGCAATGCTGAATAGGTAGAATAATTGTTTCATTCAGTTTTTGGAGTTCAAAGTTCAGCCAGTGCATTTAAAGTTTTGCATGAGGAACATTGATTTTATTAAGCATTTTCAGATATGGTGGTTGTATTTTTGCACAAAGAAGTGTTTGGATAACCACACAAAAGCATGGTGAAGAGGCTTCTTGTATTTCCATAATTTCTTGTGAACTGATGTTGTGAATTTTGTATACAGTCACCTGCATAGTTCCTTACAGGCTAATGTGATAAAACTGTTAATTTCCCAATTTAACCTTAGGTTTGTGTTGCTTCTAAAAGATTTATTTGCTATAGCTGGAATATGGGAAAATTAATTTGGGCTTAGTGGTTACATATATGTGTAAGTGGATGTACATGTACTTAAACTGGCTTTTGTATATATGTATAAATGCTGGTGGTGGCGAAAGTAGTCTTGTTTTGTGAGGATGTCTGCATTAAAGCAGTAAAATAAGCTTTCTGTTTTATTCATAACCTAATGTGTGTGTATATATGTATGTGTATATGTGTGTGTGTGTGTGTGTATGTATATAGGTATATGTATATACACACACACACACACACATACACATATGGCTGTACTGGAGGATGTCTGCATTAAAGCAGTAAAATAAGCTTTCTGTTTTATTCATAACCTAATGTGTGTATATATATGTATGTGTATATGTGTGTGTGTGTGTGTGTGTATGTATATAGGTATATGTATATACACACACACACATACACATATGGCTGTACTATCATATAGATCCAACAGCCAAACACCTGGAAGTATTAGGTACAAGTTTAAAATATCTTTTATAGGTTTTATATAAAAATGTCTGAGTATTATTTTGTGTCAAAGTTCTGATATCAGTTGTAATGGATTCAAATTTATGTGAGCAATAACGAAGCAATTGGCATATATTGGAAAAATATTTTCTGAGAAGCTGTATTTATTATAAATATTAGGGCTTTGACATAGTACCATTGGGAATAAGTCATTTTCCCAATCTATTTATAATTTAATGAAATGTTAAAGCTCATGTTATATGTCAAGTTAAAAGCAGGGCAACATTGTTGTAGCAAAATGTGTATTTGACAAATTATACTTGTAATTTGGGGTCATGAAAGATTGCAGTATAGTAAATACACAAGTGACCATTGTTTTGTGCCTCAGTATTTAATTTGTTTCAGTAAAGTTACTTTATTACTGTTTATGATTTCCAATTAAAATAGTTGTTGAGCAAAGTTTACCTGTAATCTAACAATTGGCTTTTTAAAAATAACCCATTGATCTATCATTATCAGTCCAAATGAATATGTGAAACAGCTGAAATTGTACCAATTTTGATTTTGTTCAAAGCTCAATTTCTTTTTTTTTTTAATTGTATGTGTTGGGTTTGCAGCATGAACTTGCACAGATAATGCACGTTTTCTCGTTAAGTAAACACGATGCACACTGTTCTGTAACAGAAAGCCCTATTGTGCCTTACCTATGTGCTTTTGTGGGCACCATGTTTATGAAGAATAAAAAATGATTCGTTATCTGAAGAGAATAAATTTTAAATTCTCAGTTTATTTCTCAGATGCTAACGTGTGAAAATATAAATATACATAATATATAAAGTAACCAATCTTTCTGTATTTTATGTGCATCATAGTGATTTATCTGAGCTTAGTAACCCCATCTTGTAACCTGTTGCAAGAGTGAATGTAAAAAATAGTTGTGACATTTTAAAAGGTCACCTTTTGATGCAGATGCATCTTTTTCTTCTAAAACATATTTCATGTAAACATTGTACATTTATTATTGTAATATATACTGTTATGCAGCTTATTTTATCAGAAACTGTTAAGCCGACCAAGATCCCTCCCTGCAAAGACAGATGGGAATGTGTATAATAACTTGATATTTGAGAAGTTCTGAAGTTTGATGTAATCTGTTACTTGTCCTGTTAAAAAAAAAAAAAAAGGAAAAAATTCTATTAAAAATTTATTAGGTTTTTTTTAATGTGTCTTGGCTTTTAAAAAACTTTTAAGTGCCCTGTGTCTTTATTTATGTGGTCTTTTTTTGTTTTGTTTTGTTGTCGTTTTTACTGGTGAAAATACCCTTTATTTTAAATCTTATTTTATTTGGGGATCTGTGAATATATGTGTGCTTATAAAGATGGATGAAGGTCCTAGAGTTAATTTTAACCATCCATTCCTCAGCATCTTAAATTTTCTTTATGGAAATGTCTCATCCAACTTTCAAGTGTTTGAATCAAAGTGGGGCAAGAATATAAATCAGCTGCATCGCTAAGTACTATTTAGTTTAGCTAGACACTTTTTCATAGCAAGATTTTCTCAAAAAAGGAGGCAGTTCTTTTACACATTCTGGCTCAAACTCTCTCATCATAAACCAGTAACAGTTTATGGGCTAGCTACTGTGAGTAGCATTGGACGTTTTAATCAAGTAAAAAGAAGACTTGATAAGCCATGAGGTAGACTTATCACTTGCTAAAAAATGGCACTGTTAATGTGTTAGGGATACAAATGTGAAAAACACATGGCTGAATCTTCGAGGTGGTCACAATCTAGAGGAAGAACACGGCATATAAATTAAAAGATAATGCAGAAAATACAGTGAGAGAGAAATGGGCAGAGGGAATTCTGATAGTACAGAGAGGCATCTTATGCATCTTAATAGAATAGAACATCAGAGCAGGTGAGGTAACAGTTGACCATTTTTTAATTCAGTTTAACACTTACATGCTTAATTAGTGTAGATACAATGATAAAAGTCTTTCCCTTGAGCTCTCAGGAGAGCTTCTATTCTGTGATGAGCTCATAAGAATTAATGTGTAGAACCTGTGTCATGACAAAATTCATACTCATACTCATTGGTTTGTAGGTTCCTGAACATCTTGTGAATATTAAATCTTGATATTGAACTTCCTTATATTTTTCTTATATTCATGGTTTGTGATTTCCAAGTGAACAACATTTTGATGTGTCATGTGCCCGGAATTCCTTTATTTTCCTTTAGTAAGATTTACCTTGCAGTTCTGACTCCCTGTCCTAGTGACCTGCATGGCTTCTTTGCCCTTTTTTCCTAGACTTATCTTGGCAAGTCAGTTCTTCCAGATGGCTCATCAAAAGATGCTAAATAAAGCAGAATTTTGGCAGCCACTCTTTTGGGCTCAAGAGGTACTTAGGAAGTGAGAGTAGCAGCCAGAAGTGTAGTTTAGAGAAACTGAATGTCCAGGATGTTCATTCCCTTGGCCTTTAAGCCCCATTGAGGGAACATTATGGCTAGAAATGCATCATGATGGTAGGTTTCTACACTTGAGAACCTCTTCTAGGGGGCAGCAGGATAGACTCGTTTTGCTGATTCTTAGATTTTAAAACTAGCAGAACCTGTCTGTGTTCTTAGATTTACTTTTTTTGGTTTTGTTTTGTTTTTGGTGGCTGGCAGATATGAGGTTCCAAACTCTTGACCTTGCTGTTATAACACTGCACTCTAACCAACTGAGCTAACCAGCCAATCCCAGATTTACCTTTTCTTCCATGGGAGAAAAGACCTGCACACGCTCCTGAAATTGGAAAGAGGGTAATCTAGGCATAGGGAATTTACCTTTTCTTCCAATGGGAGGACTTGAAGACCTGTATACGCTCCTGAAATTGGAAAGAGGGCAATCTAGGCATAGGGAGCACTTGAACAAAGATTGTTGAGAAACAACACAGTGTGTGTATAAACACAAGCAGTTTTGTATGGCCAAATCACTAAGTTTAAAGCAATAAATAGAGATATATGGAAAGGTAGGCAATGGTCACATCATGGAAGTCTTTTTAGGTAACATTATGAAGTTTGGATGTTGGCCATTAAAGGGAGTTCAGGTGATAAATGGATGATGAGGATTTGTTGGGATGAAGAATAGAGAAAGGATTTAAAAAGTAAGTATAAAATGGGAAAGGCTTGATTAATTGAATATTGAGAGAGAAATTGATGTCTAATTGTCTACTATGAGAAATGTAGAGTCCCAACATTTGGAGACTAGATGGTAAGGAACAAATTGGATAGGAAAGATGGTATTTTATATATATATTTTTTGAGTTTGAGAAGCCAACAGAAGATTTAGGTGGGTGTTTCTAGCAGGTGAGTAGATTTACAATTCTAAGATATTTTGAGAACCATCTGAGCTAGAGGTACAATTTGGGAGTTACAACCATGAAAGTGAGTTAGATGACCCAGAGTGAGTGAGTCCAAAGTCATATAGAGAGAGAAATTTAGGTTAATTCATGCTTCCAGTATGGATCTGGCCATCACATCTTGGGCACGAGTGGTGACAATCAGCTTTGTATCTCTTGAATATTCATAACCAATAAAAAATGTACTATGCAAAAAAGAAAAATTTAGGTTAATCCCAATTCTGTCATACTTAGATGTGTGGCCCTTAGGTGGGGGTTGAGGATGGGGTGTGAGAGAGGAAAATTTGAAATAAATTTAGAAGATAGGATTTGAAAAGGTCTTTGAATGTTTGAAGTGGAAATCTTATATGACTATCCCATTTCTGGCTTGGGCAGCTAGTTGGATGTTGATAACATTCCCCAAATTACAGATTATTGGAAGGGGGCAAGCAGCAAGAGGCCAGTTATGGTGTTAGATAAAATTTCACAGAATTGAGCAAGTTAAGCAAAGTAATTGTTCTAACTTCTCTTATCTGTCGTAGGACATAGTTGGAGGAGGGGCAAGAGAGGAATGTCTTTGAGAATCTCCTCCAAAATATAAAATTGTTAGTTTATATAATGTTCTGGCATTTTCTGTGGTTCTTCTGCATTGACTAGAAATTTTCTTGGTTTGTAGAAAAATGAGATGTTGGGTAGATCTAGAAACCTATGACTCAAAGAAGAAATAAATACAAAATGACCTTTGTCAACTTTCATACTGTTAACTAAATGGTTTGTCATATATTCAAAACTAGAAACTTTTTGAAGCTTTGCATTATATAGCCTGTGTAATTATGGTCAAGTCTTATAGGCCTAAAAGCCATTTTTTTTCTTGGCGACTTTTCTTTTTTCTTGCTGTGATGAGTTGATTTGAAAGTACAATTTTGGAAGGGCAGTCTTATTTTTATATTTCCTTGACCGTTGCTGTCCAACAGAAATATGTCAGCCTTGTGTAATTTAAAATTTTCTAATGTCCACATTAAAAAGGTAAAAACTGGGTGAAATTAATTTTAATATATTTTAATACAGAATGTCTCAACATTTAATAAAAAATTTTATTAAGCGGGCTATGTTTCATGCTTTGAAATCTGGAGTATATATTACACTTAAAGCTAGAGACAGCCTGGTGTATGTGACTGAAGTGCTCTACATTTGGTCATCTTACAGCCCATAAATCTAGTTGTTACATTTTCATTAGAAATGCTTGTTATATATGTAGATTTTATAAAATTTACAATTGAGACAGATTCACATACTTAAATGCTTCCCAACATACTTAATGTTTTTTTAATTTAAATCAAAAGAAAACTTCGTTTTACTAGCCACAGTTTAAGTGCTCTATAAGTCACATGTAGCCAGTAGCTACCGTGTTGACAGTCTAGACCAACCTGTACCTTTTTAGCCAAATACCAGTCCTCACCCAGCCACTTGTCCTCCAGCTAAACTAAACTGCTTGTCTTTATCATACACACCTAAATTTTATTTGATTCTGCGTTTACTGACATTGCTGTCTGCCTTTAGGGATATTTCTCCTATCATGCCTCTTTCCTCCCAGCCACACTAGTCTTTCTATTCCTCCAAGAAGTTGAGCAAGGATAGTAAATAGAGCAAGCTTCCTAATAGAGGCGGACATTGAGGCCAAATCATCTACTGTAGGGAAAAAGAGCTTAGGTGACTAGTACAGAAAGAGTACACCGAGTGCACAGAAAAAGTTAATCCCTAAACTTCTGATCATTCAAGTGAGAAGTGAGCTAGCTTTCATCTTCCAGGTTATGAGAGGCATGCTTAAAGTACCTGAATCGATCAGGATTTAATCTAAGAATAAGCCAGGAAGAGGAAGAATCTAAATCTCATCACATTACTTCTTGGTTTTATATCCTCCATGGGTTCCAATAACCTGTGTGATAAAAATCAGAATCCTTAGGATGGTTTACAAATTCTCCAATACATGTTATGACTACATCTCCAGCCTCATCTCTAGCCATTTCTGCTGCCCTACAAAGCTTTTTTCAGCTTTTTTTAAATTATATTTTTTTACTTAGAACATAATTGATTTATACATATTTATGGGATACAGAGTTGATTATCAGTATGTGCAATATGTGATGATCAAATCAGTATTATTAGCACATTCATTACAAAACACCATTATTATTTTTGTCCATTACCCAATTTCTTCCTAACCCCCTTCCCCTCCGACCTCCCATTCCTACCTCTAGTAACTATGGTTCTGTTCTCCTGAAAGTTCTACTTTCTTAATGGAATTTATTACATCTGAAAATATCTCATAATATGTGTTTATTGTCTGTATCCCTTACTAAATATGAATCTCATAAGAGTCGGGGGTATTTGTATTAATTAAAAATTGTTTACTCAATTTTTAGGGCCAGAATGGTGCCTGGCTTTATTAGGTGCTTAGTATATGTGTCTATTGGATCAATTCATAAAACACTTTTTTTTTCTGTTACTCTGGATCTAAAGTAAGTTTATATTTTGATTCTAGAGAGTTCAGTATAACTTCCGAGAATCTAATTTCTCCTTAAATACTTCTTTAGCAGAATCCTGTAAATATAGCTATGATGTGTTTTCATTTGCATTCACTTCAAAATACTTCCTGATTTCCCTTTGGATTTCTTCTTTGTCCCATGGGTTATGTAGGAGTGTGTTATTTAATTTCCCAATACTGAGGATTTTCCAGATAACTTTCTGCTTTTGATTTCTAATTTTATTTCATTAGAGTCCGTTGTTTGATTTGAATCCATTTAAGTTTGAGACCTGGTCCACAACATGATCTTTCTTGGT